CTTTCGATACAGGTCCTCAACTTAAAAATGAAAAATAAAATGAGTGTGATCAACCATGATCCAGGTTTTTAGTCTGCTGTGGAAAAATGCAGATTTTCTCCTTTAAAGGAGAAAAATGTAGGAAAGCACGAGTATCCCCTTACAGGCTGGGAGAGTTCTAGCCTGCAGGGGGCTGAGGAGAGCGAGACGCAGGGGACATGACATGCATGTGTGTGTGCACACAAGCACGTCCCGGAATACAGCCCCAGGCAGTGTTGGACAGTAGCTCCTGCGGGTAAGTCAGGGAGTGGGGTTTGGGGGCGGGGTATAAGTGACACAGGTTGGGGGCAAGGGGTGCAAATTGAAATGGTGGCAGCCATGGTGAAGGAAGGCGGGTGGCAGTTGGCGCTGAATCATAGAAAATTAGGGTTGGAAATGACCTCAGGAGGTCATCTAATCCAACTCCCTGCTCAAGGCAGGACTATCCCCAACCTGCTGAGGGCATTGCCCAGCTCAGGCAGTGCCTGGAGACGGGACAAGACTATATGACCATGGCACGAATGGGCGGCCATGGGGCCGGTAGGGAGGCTGGCTCCCCAAAACATGTCAGGGGAGCATTGCTGGGCACAATGCCACCACCGGTGCCACCACCGCTGGAAGCCCCATGCCAGCCAAGCCACTATGGCAAGGCACCCCTTGCCCATCCAATGACAGCAGCACAGAGTTGTGCCCCGTCACTGCTGCCAAGTGGACAGGGAATGCCTTGTCATGGTGGTGCAGGGCTTCCAAAAGTGGCTGCACCAAGCCTCCTGGCCCCACTCTGCCCTCCCATGCTGGATCCCACCCACTGGGCTATAGAGGCCCCTAGTGGGAAGACAGTAAGATTGGAAGCCCAGAGTCCCACAGCAATCAGCCTGCATCATCCCCCTCCCCTAACTGCCCCCCTCCCCCAACTGGCTGCACTCTGCTTGGCTCTGCTCCAGGTTGGGAGTGAGGGGCACCAAGCCTGGGGGGAGAAGGAATAGGGGGCTGTGGGTCAAGAGTGAGAGGCAACAGCATGGGCCCAGCACCAGCATATCACATTTGCTCGGCACCACAAAGTAGCAGGAGAACAGCCTCAGCTGGGCCCACATCCTCAAAAAGGCAAAATACATAGATAGGTATTATAATGACTGAGGTACTGGTAGGCTTCCAAATTGCTTTAAATTTGTAAATATATCAACAAAACTGTGTTCAACTACCCTTTATGTATATTATATAGAGAATTTGGGGGATGGGGGAGGTTAACAGAGAAAACCAGGATCCATGGTGGTCAAGCAGAAACTACTAAAAAGCAGGATGAAATTAATTTAGTAAAAAAACCCAAAAACCGCATCATCTCAATTTTTTCTACGTATTTTTGCTTTTACTACAGCTGTAAAATGCTCCTCACATTAAAATGCAAATGATTTTAAATTCGTGACAGAAGGAAATTCATGCATGGTCTACCAGTAAAACACCACAAAAGTCCTACTGGAAGAAAACTCTGTCATGTGGACTGAAAGAATTCAATAAATTTATTTCTTACTGGTGTCATTTTCCTCCCTCAATCATAAGATGAGACACCTGGATTATAATGAACAAAGGAAAGCTTGCTCTTTCAGTTAGCTGAAGTTGAGATTGTTGCAAAAAAGACATGGGAAATAGGCAAAAGGTGCAAGTTAAAGTACTGTACCCACGGCATATTTTATGGCTCTATACAAATACTTCAAAGACTTCTGGCATCACAAGATGCTAGATGAGAAAAATGAGCTACTATTCTATAAAGCTGTATAGGGAGTGCAACACAATGCATTACAGAAGAATAGACAAAAACACCAAATACCTAATACTGATGGATCAACTAATTTTTTGGCCTCAAGATAATCCATCCTGAAAGGACTGTCCTATATGCCCTAGTCAGGAACAGGTGGGGGAAAAAAAGAAAAAAAAAATCTGAGAGACCAGGTAGCTATGTTTGACACAGAGCTCAATAGTTTAAAAAAATCTGTAGTCCAAGGTCTTTCATATAAAGATAAAACGGAACTAAGATTGTGTATCCTTGTCTCTTCCATTCTAATAATTAGTACTCTGCAAAAGAAACATAAGAATGGAAGAAATGTAATTAGAACAACTGGCAGTGACTCATTTAACCTGCACATCAACCAGGATGGATAACTTCTAGAAAAGCACTCTAAATACTGTTTCCATGAGAACAGTAACACACCATAGTGACATTTTAAAGACATCTTTTCCCTAGCAAGTATTCTGCATTTAAAATATGGAAATCAGCATTAAATTTAACTAACTTTATTTCTTCCTATATGCGTATTTCTCTTGTTTTATTTATCCTATTTCTAAATAAAGGTGTTTTACAATATTATCAGGAGGACAATATCAATTTTTTGATAAAAATCCATTATTAAATTCTGTAATAATCCCTTGTCATTTTCCATAACAAATAGGGTAACAGTAATATCCAAGCCTGTTTTATCAAACAAGCTACTGAAACGCCTCTCACTATATTTGTTTAAATATATTCAGGATACATTGCCAGAATGAAGAAAAATATTTTTTAAAATTATACAGAAATGAACCAAGGGGCTTTAGTTAATAACATTACTGCTACTGGAAGTGAAGAGCTTCCCAGTATCACTTTACTACAAAAGGTCTGTTGGGGGGGGGGGAGAGTCTCTAATTGGAAATAAACCCTCTAGCAGAGGTTTGCTATTTGTTAGTCTAGCAGGTAAGTAGGGATGATTGGTTTTTGATGTACAGGACTGTGTGGACTCATCTTTTTTGCTGGTGCATGTGGGGAAAAAATCTTGCCTAGAGAGGACAATGGTAAAAGTGACATTACCACACTACAGCTGGTAGTGCAGAATGATGGGTGTATTTTATGGTTTGGTGTTGTAGGAACATCCCTTGGAGGCAACAAGTATGAAGAGTCCTACGTGGGAATAAAAGGCAGAAATACTATGAGAATAGTAGTAGATATGAGAAGTTTACATGCTTATTTGACTCTTACCTTCTTCTACTTCATCCTCCTGTGGTGATAATGGACCCCCTCCACCCATTGAGCTGACTGATTCTTCATCTCTGTCAGACTCCCGCTGTAGACTTACAACTTCATAAATTGCATCTCCAGAACTCGTATGGCTTTTTTCTTCAAACTAAAAACAAAATGAGAGTTTAATGTAAGGCCCTTGCATTCAACAACTACAGTTTCAGTGGTAGTCACCTAGTATGGGAACAGATTATAACACTGCTGAATATAAGGTGAAGAAATATTAAAATACAAAGAACAATTCTTTCCAAAGCTCTCTTTTCAACCACCACCTTCAATGCAACTGTAAAATAATTTTAAAATACTTCATCATTCTAAATTATCCATACTGAGAGGAGGTAAAAAGGTGAACAGCTGTAGGAAAAGCATACCAAGAATGAATGAACAAGAAAAAATAGTACTTGGGAAATTGTAGCAATAGTAAAAATAGAAACAAAATATTTAAGATAAAAATGTAAGTTTGTAAAAGTGATTACAGTTGTTATCAGGTAGGCAGTCTGACACCATAGGAACTACAATATCCCTAGTGAAAGCTATGTTCCCAGGATCCTTCCATAAAGTTGATTGCATGCAAGTACAAATAAACCTGCAGACCTTGAAGAACAGCTGAAACGTCTGCCATTTTATTTCCCAAGGCAAATGAAGGTGACTGCATTTATCTGTAAAGCCCTTCAAGGTTTGTGTCCTGTGCACTTATGCTTTAGCCAGTACTTGAAATTAGCAGGAGGCACTCAAAACTGAAAATTTGTTTTCTCCGTGATCTGACTTAACTTCCCAGGCAAACTGCAAGGAATCCCTAAGTACAATGTACCTGCACCTTGACCACTGTATATATTAAGTCTAAACTTAAAAACCATTGTTTTTTTTAGTATGTCTACATTAACTGCTAGGAGAAAAGAATTGGAAACACCTGGAGTGTTCCTGAATCTTTTCCATTACACAGCCCAGTTCATTATACACTTCTTTACCCCCCTCCATGCAGACCAGTAATGTTTTGTACTAAAATTATTCAAACTGCTGTGAGTTCCTGTATTTTTATAAGGCTGTGTAATAACACAACCAAATGGTGGCTTTAAGTAAACTGGAACTAAAGGGAAGCCAAAACGAACATTTAATGCCCAAATTTAGATCAGTTTTCAGACTGCTTTATCCTCCGCAAAGTTTACATAATCAGTTAAAATAAGGTCAGTTTTCATACAGGCTAAAAATGTCCCATCAACATCAAATAGCAAAATGAAGCAGTGCTAGCATGTTTTGCTTTTGAACCAAATTTAAGTATATGAAAGAAAAAGGTGAACGGGTTTAGATAATGTATTAACTTGATTTATCTTGTCAGCCAAAAAAATAAGTTAACATAAATTATAATGTAAACCAAGGGCCTGACCACTTATCAATGAAGAACCCATGGCACCTTTTCAGCTTTCTGGCTGCATCAAATAGCTTCTGCTGTTTCATGTCCAGTTTCTGGAACTCTTGCACTGGATAGACAGAATCTGGAGGGTCTGTGCTTACAGCTGAGTGTTTTGCACCCTCGGCAAGTAGTATTTAGTAGGGCTGTGTGAAACAGCACCATTCCATTTTTGACTGAATGGCGTTTCGTTTTGAAACTGCTGTTCTGTTTCATTTTGTCGAAACAGTTTTGCTGTTTCCCCCATAGGCTATAATGGGGAAGCTCGAAACAGCCTATAACTTTGTCATTTCTGGCCTGATTTGGATGAAACTTGCAGGAATGGTAGCCCCTTCTGAGGGCACAAAGCCTGCCAAGTTTCAAAGAGACAGGTGCAGGGGTTTCAGGGAAACTGCACCTCAAAGCGCTGAAAACAAAACTCATGTCAAGTTTATGTGGTAAGCCACAGCGGGGTCAAAACTGCAGGCGTGATAGCCCCTGCTGAGGCAACGAAGCCTGCCAAGTTTCAAGGAGATAGGTGCAGGAGTTTGGGGGAAACCTGCACCTCAAGCTGAGGACAAGAAAACTCGTGACACGGGTGACACTGTGTGTGTTAAGGCGCAGCAGGGTGAAAGCTACAGGCTTGCTAGCCCCTGCTGAGGCCACAAAGCCTGCCAGCTTTCAAGGAGATAGGTGTAGGGGCTTCTGGGCTCTGGGGCCCTGCACCTGGCTGCTGACAAACTCGTGACATGGGTGCTTGTGGGACTGTGTCTTGGGGCACAGGGGGGTGAAAACTAGAGGCCTGCTAGGCCCTGCTAAGGCCACAAAGCCTGCCAGCTGTCAAGGAGATTGGTGCAGGGGGAGTCTGGGGCCCTGCACCTCTAGCTGCTGACAAGCAAAAGTTACCCACATGAGTGGGTAACACTGCGTGTGTTAAGGTGCGCCCTCATTCATCTGACACCAAGGCAGAAAGCAGGGCAGTTCAAACAGTGCTGCCTTCTTGGCAGCTTTTCCATCCTTCCCCCAGAGCACTGGGATTGGAAGGGCCCTCAGGAAAGGATGACACTCACTGGCCAGCTACAAAGTCAATAATGAGAGCACTCCTTTCCCCACCCTCCTTGCTTTAGTTTCTGTTTCCCTGCAAGCAAGCCCAACTTGAGCTTTGAAACATGAAACGTTTAGAAAATTTCAAAACATTTTGACTTGCCTCGTTTCGTTTCAAGGCTGTTTTGAAGCTCTCTGTTTTGTTTCGATTTTGCTGTTTCGAGCTCAAAATGAGTTGAAACAGCTGGCAAAATTTTGCACAGCCCTAATATTTAGCAAGAAAATACTGTTTTCATTATTAGTTTATATGATGTTAATCTCCCCAGATACCCATGTCAAGTATTTGCAAAGCACTTGTGCAAGAAGGTGCCTCTTGCTCTTGATTATCTTATTTAGCATGGTCTGGTAAGCTTCCTTTTACAGGAATGGAAAGAAAAGTTAAAGATAGTGCAGCACCATGGCTTTTGCATTACGTGGAATCCCCACAATAATATTCAGAAATCTGTTAATGTTGGAATTTCTAATTCCACTTTCAAATGTGTTCCAAAGTTCCAGACAGGCACAATACACATTTTAAAAAAATCACTAAGCAGCCAACACTTGAGAATCATTATTACCAAACCATTGCAACATTGCAATATGCCTAGAAATCAACCTGCCCAACCATAAACTGGTCAGTTCAATTCAAATGTCCTTTGATGGCATACACCCTACTTCAGGAGCGGGCAATTATTTCAGCAGGAGGGCCACTTAACAAGTTTTGATGAGCCTTGGAAGGTCACATGGGTAGCCCCGCCCCTGAGAGCTGCCCCACCCCCCGGTCACTATATTGGGACCAGAAGTCCCACCCCCTAGCCCCTGACCTTTGCCACCAGAAGTCCCTCTCCTTACTCCCCAGAAATACTTCTTTTGGGAGGGGGGCTACCATCTTAGAACCAGAAACAAACTAAATCATACACCTATGAAAATATATTTTAATAAAGAAGTCAAACACCTACTAAAATATATTTTAATTTTATTACAAAAATATCTGTCATGATGTGTTTGTGTACTGTATATAGAAGGGATTGCATAACAACTCAAAATAAAGTTGCACCCTTATATTGTGGGGGTGGTGTATGGTGAGATGTAGGGGGTGTGGCTGTGCAGGGGGGGAATAGGGTACA